TCCCATATCATAAAAATCTTTGAAAGGGTCCTAAGAAGCAAGATCACCACCCATCTAGAAACCCATCAGTTACACAACCCAGGGCAACAGGGGTTTAGAACAGGTCGCTCCTGTCTGTCTCAACTACTGGATCACTACGACAAGGTCCTAAATGCACTAGAAGACAAAAAGAATGCAGATGTAATATATACAGACTTTGCAAAAGCCTTCGACAAGTGTGACCATGGCGTAATAGCGCACAAAATGCGCGCTAAAGGAATAACAGGAAAAGTCGGTCGATGGATCTATAATTTCCTCACTAACAGAACACAGAGAGTAGTCGTCAACAGAGTAAAGTCCGAGGCAGCTACGGTGAAAAGCTCTGTTCCACAAGGCACAGTACTAGCTCCCATCTTGTTCCTCATCCTCATATCCGACATAGACAAGGATGTCAGCCACAGCACCGTGTCTTCCTTTGCGGATGACACCCGAATCTGCATGACAGTGTCTTCCATTGCAGACACTGCAAGGCTCCAGGCGGACATCAACCAAATCTTTCAGTGGGCTGCAGAAAACAATATGAAGTTCAACGATGAGAAATTTCAGTTACTCAGATATGGTAAACATGAGGAAATTAATCTTCATCAGAGTACAAAACAAATTCTGGCCACAAAATAGAGCGAAACTCCAACGTCAAAGACCTGGGAGTGATTATGTCGGAGGATCTCACCTTCAAGGACCATAACATTGTATCAATCGCATCTGCTAGAAAAATGACAGGATGGATAATGAGAACCTTCAAAACTAGGGAGGCCAAGCCCATGATGACACTCTTCAGGTCACTTGTTCTATCTAGGCTGGAATATTGCTGCACTCTAACAGCACCTTTCAAGGCAGGTGAAATTGCCGACCTAGAAAATGTACAGAGAACTTTCACGGCGCGCATAACGGAGATAAAACACCTCAATTACTGGGAGCGCTTGAGGTTTCTAAACCTGTATTCCCTGGAACGCAGGAGGGAGAGATACATGATTATATACACCTGGAAAATCCAAGAGGGACTAGTACCGAACTTGCACACGAAAATCACTCACTACGAAAGCAAAAGACTTGGCAGACGATGCACCATCCCCCCAATGAAAAGCAGGGGTGTCACTAGCACGTTAAGAGACCATACAATAAGTGTCAGGGGCCCGAGACTGTTCAACTGCCTCCCAGCACACATAAGGGGGATTACCAACAGACCCCTGGCAGTCTTCAAGCTGGCACTGGACAAGCACCTAAAGTCAGTTCCTGATCAGCCGGGCTGTGGCTCGTACGTTGGTTTGCGTGCAGCCAGCAGCAACAGCCTGGTTGATCAGGCGCTGATCCACCAGGAGGCCTGGTCACAGACCGGGCCGCGGGGGCGTTGACCCCCGAAACTCTCTCCAGGTAAACTCCAGGTAAATATAGGTGCACATATGCCAACTTTGTGTAATATAACATGAAATTTTTATTCCCATTAAATCATGTTAAATATATTTGAGCCTACGTCTATCTTACTCGAAAGACTTTCTATTTTATAAACATCAATTTTTACAAACAAAGAACTGTTATTTACCTGAGCTCGGCTTTAACATTGAATATTAGGAATTTCTTATGGGCACGATAACACTTACTAAGTTGAGTTAGTATGTAGTCAGATTTGTTGTTAATATATTAAAATAATTGAACTTTGGAGTCACTGAAAATATTCATGTTACTGGAAGGCGCAAGTCTCAGTCTGCCAGTTTTGTTCAATAGTGATATTGACTTCTACTCAGTAACTAAAGAAAGCATCTTCTGGTCGGCCTCAATGTATTAACGATGATATAGGCAATAATATATATAACGCCTAATAAGTTGAAAATGTGTAGGTGAAAATTTTAAATTTTTCTGACATTGTTAAAGAATTTGGAATTTTTGGAATCTGATCAATCACTGGTGAATGCCTTTTCTGATAGGCTTCATATTTTGTGTTGCTGAGCTTATTAAAAGAACGCTTGGCTTTTTCTTTGAGTTGTGTAGAATTTAATTTTGCTAATTTTATTCAATAAATAGGTTTTTAAGTAATAACTGGAGAATGGCACTTTTGATCAGCTTCGAACATAAGTGCTGGTCTATGTTAATTGCAACTATTTTTGTTCTGAATTTAGGCTGAATTGCTGCCAGTTTGATAATTTTATAGAATAAAATATATCTGATTGGACTTTCTCAAAAAAAAAAAAAACTTTTAGAACTGTAGAGAATTTTAAATAGAAATGTTAAAGGAAATTTGAGAAATGTTCAATGCTCGCGATGTTATGAAATTTTTAATTTCCAAGAGTTTAATGAGCCATTAATTATATTTTTGTAAGAGTTTATGCCAAGCTGGTCATATTGTTAGGTTCTTGTCTATTAATTTCCTGCAGAACTTTCATTAATAACTTCAAAGTGACTTATCCGATCGGCTTCAAATTTTCAACCATAGTCAACTTTAAGTAGCGGAATGTTGGTGAAACAGTTGACAGTTACAAGTGCTCCTTCTTAGTTTTATGTAGACCATTCCCGAAGTTAGTTTCCATGCAATAATTTCAGAAAGCCTCGTATGATTATCTTCAAAATTTCAACATTTATGTAACCTACTTAGAAGGTTGGTATAGTTAACCAGTGTGTAGGTGCCATTCTGCAACTTTCTCAAAACGGTATATTAATATTTTGCATTTACGTAAATGGAGGATGCCTCTCTATGGGGAGGGGGGTGGGGGGTTGACATGATGCTGATGAAAAGCTTTTGATCCAGGGAACCGGTCTTATCCTCCCTTGGATCGAATTTGAATGCCTCCCATGCTTTAGGTGCTATATTACGCCTACGGGTTTAGCGCTTCCCATTGATGCCTGTCAGATTTTTTTATTTTTAGTCTGTAATGGCTGATTCATTGTTTGAAATGGATAAAAAAAATATTTAGTGTTAAGTGCAAATTTTGTTGGATTCTGTGTAATAACTGGAGAATGCATTTTCTGGTCGAGTTCAAACTTTTATTGTTTTCCTGAAGCTTGGCTTTGTCTTGATTTTAGGCTGTGCAATTTTCATTGTGCCAATATTATTAAACAAATAGGTTAGCATGAAATAACTGGAGAATAACTCCTTTGATCAGAACCAAGTCAGGGTTCGTCTTTATTGGACTATCCTAGCTTGAATCTACATAATGTACTGATATGTACACATACATGTATGTGTGTGCCCTTAAGACCACTAAAAAAAATATCTGCACCCAAAGCCTAAATAAAATTGGCGTACCTACTTGTATACTTATTTGGATGGATTTTTTTGCTTGTGCACGTCCTGATTTCCCTTTTTATAATGGAAGAATTTAGAAAAATTATGAGCGGCTTCAAACTTGTACTGAAACGTTTGAACTAGTTTTGGGCAGTGTGTGTCCTAATTTCCCATATATATATATGTGTGTGTGTGTGTGTGTGTGTGTGTGTGTGTGTGTGTGAACTGGGATATTAGTGACTTTGTGATAACTTCTGGCTTATTTCAAATCCGGGGTTATACAGTACATGGAGACCTGTCTCACATCACCGCAACCGAATTACAATTTTAATTGTTATTATTATTATTAGTGGTAATATGAAGAATTGCTAATCTCATAGAGTAATTAGGAAAGGTAATCAGGGTTTATCCACGAAAGGAGAGAACAGGTGCAATTCCTTGAATCGAAAACGCTTCAACCGCATTATTAATATAACTGGTTTAATGAGGGGGAAGCGCTTAACACATTAAGAGGCCATACAAAGCCTGCAGAATAGGAAGCAATCAGGTTCGATCCAAGGAAGATCCAATGCCTTGGATCAAGAGCTCACCGGCATTAAGGGGTTCAGCTACATGAAGGCCCCTTAAAGAATATATTTGAAGAAACTTCAGAGTTGTTATAAGAGACTAGTTAGAACTTGTATGAAAGAATCCCTTTTGGAATACTGATCATGTCCTCACCATCCACACCAAGTCTGCCAGCGCTGCTTGCCTGGCATACATAACTGAGGGTTTAACCTCCATACTCTGTGATGATCAGTATAATGGGTGTGGCAGGCTGACATAACCATCTTGCGATTAGTGTGGCAGGCTGACATAACCATCCAGTGATGTGTGTGGAAGGCTGACAACCATCTTGTGATGTTTGTGATAGGCTGACATAACCATCCAGTGATGTGTGTGGAAGGCTGACATAACCATCTTGTGATGTTTGTGGTAGGCTGACATAACCATCCTGATATGTGTAGCAGGCTGACATAGCCCTCTTGTGATGGGTGTGACAGGCTGACATAACCATCCTGTGATGGGTGTGGCAGGCTGACATAACCATCCTGTGATGTGTGTGGCAGGCTGATACAGCCATCCTGTGATGTCTGTAGCAATCTGACATAACCTTCTTGTGATTTGTGTGGCAGGCTGACATAACCTCTTTGTTTGATAGGTGTGATTCAACATTTAGATAGTAGTTTAGTTTATTATTTTGAGCAAACACGGAGACAATGATGTGAACCAGTCTGGTGCTTAACAGAGTTCACTGTTATGAGTGTAGCTGTCCTTAGAAATACTGCCATATCTGTTCGGAGTCATAACAGTAGAAACATCAGAAAATATGTTTGAGCCAGCACCAGCCTGGTTGATCAGACAAGCATAGCCCAGGGTCGGACTGCGGGAGTAGGAAAGCTCTGGAAGTCCTTCAAAGGTACCTTAAAGTATAGGCAACATTCACATCATCTAAGATACACACAAGTTATCCCGCACTGAGAGCCGGATGAGGTAAAACATTTAGTAGGGATAAAAATTTACTTAAAATGCAGGCGAGTGTCTCAGTGATGCCTCATATCAATTAGTAGTATATTTTGGCTCCGGGAAGCTTATTTTGATGGTGATGCAATTTTTTTGAATTAAATGCATTTTACCTTTTAAACCAGACGTATGATTTTTAAGTTTGCACATTTTCGGAATTAATGTTAAAGTTTACCTACAGAGTTACTGTGGAGAATGGCGTCAACGCGGATGTTGATAGTTCGAGGGTCACTACTGCTGAACGCTCTGCTGGTGCTGTATCTGTGTGTCTCCTGGTTCTCGACTAGTCCAACTAGACACACTGCCCTTGCCACACACTCACTCCGTACCCCTAGCCCTCTAGATGTACACCATGTTGATTTTGAAGGCATAGACACTGCCGAAATGGTCGGTGGTAATGGCGTGAGCCAGGATGCTGTACCCCTGGAGGTTCCGCTACCAGCTGCCCTGGCCAGTGATTTGGGTGACAGTGAAATGCGTGACATATCTCTTGGTGGACGGCGAACACTGGGGCAGCTACCAGAGCAGAGTCTGCAAGCAGGGGTAAAGCAGCTACTTCCAGGAGCCCTAGAGCAAGTGGTTCAGGCAGGGGTAGAACAGATGCCACTGAATAAAGGTGTAGAGCAGAGCCTTCACGGTGGTGTGGACGCTAGTGCAGGAGAGCAGGAGGAACCTCCGCGGGAGGTACAAGAGAGTGCAGGAGTAACGGAACAACTACTGGAACCTCTTGCTATAGAGCCGCCTGACCCTCCGCTGGACTCCCTGGAGCGCAAGATATATCCAGATTTAAGAGAGTGCTCGACCAGACCACAGCGACCATTCTACTTCCAGCGGGGCGACTACTGGGTTCTGGAGAACTATATTCCCGCCGCACTCTCCTTTCGCTGTGACGAGTCCATCACCTACACAACTCACGCTGACTACACTTTTCTGGACAACCTGGAGCCTCTCACGTCCCGCTGGCAGGTCAGTCTCTGCGCATGTTTTGATGATTTCACACCTTGCTCTAATATAACATTGCTTTCCACCACAGTGAAATCGGTAGTTGCATATTTCTTAATAAAATGTTTAGTCTCAAGTTGTAAATGGTATGGTAATGCCGACAAAGTGTGGAAAAGGACACTTTGTGTAAAATTAAGGACATTAGAAGAAGCTTCGCCACGAGAAGCTTCAGTGTTAAGACTGATGAAGTTACTCGTGGCGAGACGTTTCCTTTAATTAATATCGTGAATTGTACACAAATGTCTTTTTCAATGTGCTTGGTTTCACTACCATTCCAATACAAAAGTTGGCTTTTTATCATACAGAAGTGCACGTAATAAAATCTACAATTGCCGTGAAGTGAATACAGGAAAGAGTAAGGTGATGAGGATAAAAAAAAATAGGTAACGAAAGATCTGATATCAGATTAAAGGGAGAGGGAGTATGGAGGAGGTGAATGTATTCAGATATTTAGGAGTGGACGTGTCAGCAGATGGGTCTGTGAAAGATGAGGTGAATCATAGAATTGAGGGGGAAAAGGTGAGTGGTGCACTTAGGAGTCTGTGGAGATAAAGAACTTTGTCCAGGGAAGCAAACAGGGGAATGTATGAGAGTATAGTTATACCAAGGCTCTTATATGGGTGTGAAACATGGGTGGTGAATGTTACAACAAGGAGAAGGCTGGAAGCAGTGGAGATGTCATGTCTAAGGGCAATGTGTGGTGTGAATATAATGCAGAGAATTCATAGTTTGGAAATTAGGAGGAGGTGCGGGATTACCAAAACTATTATCCAGAGGGATGAGGTGGTTTGGACATTTAGAAAGGGTGGAACAAAATAGAATGACTTCGAGAGTGTATAAATCTGTAGTGGAGGGAAGGCTGGGTAGGGGTCGGCCTAGGAAAGGTTGGAAGGAGGGGGTAAAGGAGGTTTTGTGTGCGAGGGGCTTTGATATCCAGCAGGCGTGCGTGAGTGTGTTAGATAGGAGCAAATGGAGACAAATGGTTTTTAGGACTTCATATGCTGTTGGAGTGTGAGCAAGGTAACATGAAGAGAGTTTGGGAAACCGGCAGACCGAACTTGAGTCCTGGAGATGGGAGGTACAGTGTCTGCACTCTGAAGGTGTGTTAATGTTGCAATCTTATAACTGTAGTGTAACCGCACCTCTGGCAACACAGTGATGGAGTGAAAGATGAAAGTTCTTCTTATATATATATATATATATATATATATATATATATATATATAATATATATATATATATATATATATATATATATTATATTTATTTATTTATTTTTTATATTTATATAAAAGTCATTCCGAACAGGTAAATCTTGCGATTTTCGCTTAAATAGCAATGCTCTTTTTGCCGAATAAGACAAGCAAAAAGTTGTGTATGCAATAATTTCCCCAAAAAACATTTTGAACCTAACGAAAAAAATATATATATTTCATTGTATTTGTTTATTATTAAATTATTGTAACCTTATGTAAAATATACTTATTTGGATTAGGCTAAATTATATTGCGCTTGTTATAACAAAGTTAGGTAAGTTTTCTAAAGCTCTTTTGGTACAAAATTAATAATTTTTACATTAACATAATTGAAAAAATTATCTTTAAACATATAAAAGAAAATTTTAGAAAGGACTTAATATTAAATGAGTTCTTGCTAATTGACCAGTTTTATCTATTCGGCACGACACACACAAACACAAACACAGTTTTAAGACGAGGTATGATAAAGCTCATGAGCAGGGAGAGAGAGGACTTAGTAGCGACCAGTGAAGAGGCGGGACCAGGAGCTGTGTCTCGACCCCTGCAACCACATATAGGTGAGTACACACACACACACACACACACACACACACACACACACACACACACACACACACACATATATATTATTATTTTTTATTAGCACATCGGCCGCTTCCCACCAAGGCAGGGTGGCCCTAGTAAGAAAAACTTTCATTATTCATTCCATCACTGTCTTACTGTGCTTACACTACAGTTATAAAACTGCAACATTAACACCCCTCCAGAGTGTGGACACTGTACTTCCCATCTCCAGGACTCAAGTCCGGCCTGCCGGTTTTCCTGAATTCCTTCATAAATGTTACCCTACTCACACTCCAACAGCACGTCAAGTCTTAAAAACAATTTGTTTCCATTCACTCCTATCAAATACGCTCAGGTTTGCTTGCTGGAAGTCCAAGCCCCTCGCACACACAACCTTCTTTACCCCTTCCCTCCAACTTTTCCTAGGTTGACCCCTACCCCACCTTCCCTCCACTACAGATTTATACTCCCTCGAAGTCAATCTATTTTGTTCCCTCCTCTCTATATGTCCGAACCACCTCAACAACCCTTCCTCAACCCTCTGGATAATAGTTTTGGTAATCCTGCACCTCTTCCTAATTTTCAAACTACGAATTCTCTGCATTATATTCACACCACACATTGCCCTCAGACATGACATCTTTACTTCCTCCAGCCTTCTCCTTGTTGCAACATTCACCACCCATGTTTCACACACATATTAGAGTATTGGTATAACTATACTCTCATAAATTTTCTTCTTTGCTTCCACGGGCAAAGTTCTTTGTCTCCACAGACTCCTAAGTGCACCACTCACCCTTTTCCTCTCATCAATTCTATGATTCACCTCAACTTCCATAGACCCATTTCCTGACACGTCCACTCCCAAATATCTGAATACATTCACCTCCTCCATACTCTCTCCCTCCATCTGATATCCAGTGTTTCATCACCCATTTTTTTTTGTTATCCTCATCACCTTAGTCTTTCCTATATTCACTTTTAATTTTCTTCTTTTACATACCCTACCAAACTCATCAACCAACCTCTGCAACTTCTCTTCTGAATCTCCCAAAAGCACAGTGTCATCAGCAAAGAGCAACTGTGACAACTCCCACTTTGTGTTAGATTCTTTATCTTTTAACCCCACACCTCTTGCCAACACCTGTGCAATCACTTCTCTTACCACCCTATCTATAACTATATTGAACAACCATGGTGACATCCCACATCCTTGTCTATGGCCTACTTTTACTGGGAAATAATCTCCCTCTCTCCTACATACTCTAACCTGAGCCTCACTATCCTCATAAAAACTCTTCACTGCTTTCAGTAACTTACCTCCTATTCCATACACCTGCCACATTGGCCCCATATTCACCCTGTCATATGCCTTTTCCAAATCCATAAATGCCACAAAAAGCTCTTTTCCTTATCTAAATACTGTTCACCTATACGTTTCACTGTAAACACTTGGTCTACACACCCCCTACCTTTCCTAAAACCTCTTTGTTCATCTGCTATCCTACTCTCCATCTTACTCTTAATTCTTTCAATAATAACTGTACCATACACTTTGCCAAGTATACTCAACAGACTTATTCCCCTATAGTTTTTGCACTCTCTTTTGTCCCCTTTGCCTTTATACAAAGTATCTATGCATGCTCTCTGCCAATCTCTAGGTACCTTACCTTCTTCCATACATTTATTGAATAATAGCACCAACCACTCCAAAACTATATACCCACCTGCTTTTAACATTTCTATCTTTATCCCATCAGTCCCAGCTGCCTTACCCCCTTTCATTTTACCCACTGCCTCACGAACTTCCCCCACACTCACAACTGGCTCCTCCTCACTCCTACAAGATGTTATTCCTCCTTGCCCTATACACGAAATCACAGCCTCCCTATCTTCATCTACATTTAACAATTCCTCAAAATATTCCCTCCATCTTCCCGATACCTCTAACTCTCCATTTAATAACTCTCCTCTCCTATTTTTAACTGTCAAATCCATTTGTTCCCTAGGCTTCCTCAACTTATTAATCTCACTCCAAAACTTTTTCTTATTTTCAACAAAATTTGTTGATAACATCTCACCCACTCTCTCATTTGCTCTCTTTTTAGATTGCTCCACCACTCTCATAACCTCTCTGTCTCTCCATATACTCTTCCCTCCTTGCATCACTTCTACTTTGTAAAAACCTCTCATATCCAAATTTATCTCCCTTACTACTCTCTTTAGATCATTCCACCAATCTGATGTATTTGTGGCCCCTCTATAAACATGTACATCCTGAAGTCTACTCAACAGTCTTTTATCTACCAATACATTGTCCAACAGATTGCTGTCATTACACCCTACGTCATATTTTGTATACTTATTTATCCTCTTTTTCTTAAAATACGTATTACCTATAACTAAACCCCTTTCTGTACAAAGTTCAGTCAAAGGGCTCCTGTTATCATTTACATCTGGCACCCCAAACTTACCTACCACACCTCTAAATGTTTCTCCTACTTTAACATTTAGGTCCCCTACCACAATTACTCTCTCATTTGGTTCAAAGGTTCCTATACATTCGCTTAACATCTCCCAAAATCTCTCTCTTTCCCCTACACTCCTCTCTTCTCCAGGTGCATACACGCTTATTATGACCCACTTTTGACATCCGACCCTTATTTTAATCCATATAATCCTTGAATTTACACATTTATATTCCCTCTTCTCCTTCCATAACTGGTCCTTCAACATTATTACTACCCCTGCCTTTGCTCTCACTCTCTCAGATACTCCTGGCTTAATCCCATTTATTTCTCCCCATTGAAACTTGCCTACCCCTTCAGCTTTGTTTCGCTTAGGGCCAGGACAAAAACCCTTGATGTGTGTATGTATATATATATATATATATATATATAATATATATATATATATATATATATATATATATATATATATATATATATGCATGTGCATGCCTGTGTAGTGTGACCTAAGTGTAAGTAGAAGTAGCAAGATATCCAGCGTGTTTATGAGACAGAAAAAAGACACCAGCAATCCTAGCATCATAAAACAGTTACAAGTTTTTGTTGCACAGTCATTTGGCAGGACGGTAGTACCTCCCTGGGTGGTTGCTGTCTACCAACTTAAATGTTAAATGTTAAATCTAATATATTTTTCTTTATTTTCAGATTATTAATATGTCTAGAGGCTGCATAATTTCACCAGGCATATTTTGTTATGTCTGCAGGTAATTCACCCCTTCAGATTCCATGAGCAACATTACTCCTTCATTGAAGCGCTGCTACTTTGCTTATTTTGGCTGCAAACTTGGAGACCAGGACAAACCATTTTCACCACACAAAGCTTGCAAGAGTTGCATCAGTAAGCTCCAAATGTGGTCAGTTGGAAAACCAATGGTATGGCGGAAGCAGATGAACCACCATGATGACTGCTGCTTTTTTATGACTAAAGTAGCTGGATTCAACAAGAAGACTAAAGATTGCATAATATACCCAAATATTCCTTCGGCAATAAGGCCTGTTCCACACTCTGAAGATATTCCTGTACCTGTGCCACCTAAGACATGGCAAATTTCACCAGAGTCTGATACCAATGATTCTAAGGAAATGAAAGTAGACTATGAACCACCAACAAATGACAATCCCAAACTCTTCAGCAAAGCTGAGCTCAGTAATTTGGCGAGAGACCTTAACCTTCCAAAAGAAAGTGCACAGTTGCTTGGCTCTAGACTGAAGGAACACAGGCTTCTAGCTCCTGGAGCAACATTCGCTAGGTACCGTCATCGTGAAGCAGAATTCACTCAGTTCTTTGACAAAGAGGAATCTTGAGTTTTCTGTTCAAATATTTCTGGCCTTATTGAACACATGAGGATATCATACAAAGCAGATGAATGGAGACTCTTCATTGATTCTCCTAAAAAAAGTTTAAAGACTGTACTCCTCTACAATGGCAACACAGCTGCATCATTGCCAGTTGGCCTTAGTATCCAAATGTCAGAAACTTCCGCAAATATGAAGACACTAATATCAGCAATGACAATTTTCTCATTTGTAGTGATTTAAAAGTTATTGCTCTCCTACTATGTCTTCAAGGTGGATACACCAAGTATCCCTGTTTTCTGTCTTTGGGATAGTAGGGCAGACAGCCAGCACTATGAACAAAAAGACTGGCCACCAAGAACCAGCTTCTTACCCGGAAATCTCGACGTGAAAACTGTGCCACTAGTTGACCCCCCAAAAATTCTGCTGCCACCACTCCACATCAAATTAGGGCTTATGAAAAATTTTGTGAAGGCCTTGAACAAGAATGGAACTGCTTTCAAGTACCTGGAGCCAAAGTTTCCTCGTATAAGTGAGGGCAAGCTAAAGGCAGGAATCTTTGTTGGCCCTCATATTCGGGAATTGATGAAGGACAAGCATTTTGAGGGAGCATTAGCAGGTGTCGAGGTGAATGCCTGGTTTTAATTCAAGCAGATTGTCCACAACTTCCTGGGAAACAGGCGCTCCCCCGAATATGAAAAAATGATCCAAGACCTGATTTCAAGTTTCCAACAACTTGGGTCTAGAATGAGTGTGAAGATGTACTTTTTGCACTCGCATCTTGACTATTTTCCCAACAATTGTGGGGACTACAGTGAGGTACAAGGAGAGCGGTTCCATCAGGATATTTGCACCATGGAAACTCGATACCAGGGCAAATGGAATATCAACATGATGGTGGATTGCTGATGGTCTCGATGCACAGCACAAGCGAAAATCAAAGTGGTCCTCCTTCCTTTGATTCAATATGTAGGCTAATCATCAGGAGCATATATTTTTAATAAAATTATTTGATTTGATTCATGTTGATTTGGAATTCATATGTTCTTGAAGCTAACAGAAAGTGCTTTTCCATGATTACTTGCCTAATTTTAATAAATTAACAATTTATTAAAAATTCACATTTTTTATCATTAATTTATATTTTATTCAAAATCCTTATGTGATATAGCAAAACGGTTTAGATATTTACAATTAGCAGCCCAAGAATATGTAAGATCGCAACCATGAATAAAAATAAAAATCAAAAACATTCCAAATGCATACCAGTGTTATCTATTAGTAGATCACGTGTATACTGGCAGGCTGAGACTTGTTACAAGGGTTCTTGGTCCCCCTGACTTGTTCTACTAGTACTTTATGGAAATAAGATTATTGTATACAGTGATATGTACTAAACGTGCATGGAGACTGGTAGGCAGTCAATTGTGATCTAAGTAAGGGGAGGGTAGCTACAATCTTAAGGTAATCAGGTACTGTATACTGTAATTCCTACGCGTTTACCGCTTCCCATCGATAATATTTATTAATTGTGGAAGATCTTTCGCAAATATAGTGAAGAAAATGTATACTAGTAGATTATGTATACATGTAGTCCTGTGAGGGTGGCAGTGTACCTCAGGGGATGACTTCGGTGCCTTCATCAACATCATACTCTACCTCTTGTGTATACTTTAGGGTCCTGTGAGTGTGGCAGTGTATGCTCCTGGGGATGATTTTAATGCCACCATCAACACTATACTCTACCTCAGAGACTGCTGGGCTGAGGGCATCAAGAAATATGTCACTTTTCATCTCTTCTTTCACGTCTCTCACAAGCCTAAAAAGGTAAGTATTTAGTTATTATGACTAGTTATACCTTATTGATGTCATGTTAATGTTGTACACTTATTTAGAATGAATATAAAGTTAGTACCATGGCTAGAATAATTCACTTAGGGGAGGAACCTTATGATGAGGTTTTGGTCCATCCAGGACCATTGCAACTTGACAGCTCTTCTAAGTGCAGATTATTTGTGAAACAAACAAGTGTAATACTGTACTTTGCAAAAATTTAAATATTGTAATGTACCTGTCAGATTTTGTATACTTCATGAATAATAACTAAGTCAATTCCAAAGGGTGAGGCTTCTTGATCCAAGGAATCGAAGGTACCCTTCCCTGGATCAAACCTGATTACCCTCCATTCCCCCATTATTTTTTTTACAATGCACCGGCTATCTCCCACTGAAGCAGGGTGGCCTATTTTTTTTTTTTTTTGCATGTAGTAATTTATACAGGAGAAAGGGTCACTATCCCCTTGTCCTCCAGATACTGCATGACCTTAATAGAATTAGCTCTCCCCATAAAATTTTCGTTCATAACTCAAATCACTTACTGTTCAACAGGTTCCATCTAGTGAAGAACTACTGAAAAGGAAGACTGACTGTGCACTAGAGCCTCCTCGGTGGACTAATGTCACTACATACAGACAACACAAGAAATTGTTGTATCCTGTCAACATAGCAAGAAATACTGCCAGACAAGCTGTTCAAACCTACTTTGTGTTCCCATCTGATGTGGAATTGTATCCATCAATAAATTTTATTCCTGGTAAGCTCTTTAGTTATTGGAATTGTTTTATGATAGCAATATAAAACTTTTTATTCTTAATAAAATTTTCACTTTGTTTTTCAACAAGTCGGCCGTCTCCCACCGAGGCAGGATGACCCAAAAAATAAAGAAAATCCCCAAAAAGAAAATACTTTCATCATCATTCAACACTTTCACCTCACTCATACATAATCACTGTCTTTGCAGAGGCACTCAGATACGACAGTTTAGAAGTCCCTCCAAGCTGTAAATATCCCAGACGTCTCCCTTAAAGTGCAGGCATTGTACTTCCCATTTCCAGGACTCAAGTCTGGCTAAATCTGTAAAAACTGTTGTGAATGATTATTTTACAAAGATTATAAACATTTACGAAAAAGATTGTTTCTCAACATTTTTAAAATCACTCACCTAACAGACTACTTTTCACGAATTTATTCTTATTTTTTCTTGGTTAATATTTTTTTTAATGATGCATCTTACAAATTATTTTGTTGCACCCTCTTCCAGCAGTGGTATTGCTCATCCATTAGGCTAACTAGCAATTCAGTATTATATGTAGTTTGTAGTCAGAAGTAGATATGACCCACTACAGTATACAGTAGAACCCCGGATTTTGTCCTTAATCCATTCCAGAAGGTCGGTCTAAATCGGAAACGAACGAAAACCAAAGCAAGATTTCCCATAAGAAATAATGTATATACAATTAATCTGTTCCAGACACCCAAAAATATTAGCAAAAAAATACATTTTTTAAAGAATAACTATAGTTTTACATACAGAAAACAATGAGAACGAAATATAAATGACTAATGAAATGGATAAATGAACATTTAACATCACACTTACCTTTATTGAAGACTCTTGTTGGGGTATGGATGGCGAGAAGGTGAGAGGGAGGAGAGGTTATCTTTACCACCATCACTACCAGAGGTAGTGACCGTGGTAGAGGTTATTGTTTGGAAGGGAAATCCCCCTCCATAAGGACTTCAGGTATCAAAGCCCTATCCGGGGTTACGTCCCTTCTTTGTCTTTTACTGGCACTGGACCCCTGTTGCACTAAAAATCTGTCCAGAGAGCTCTGTTTCTGGCATCTCTTTAAGATTTGCCTAAAATGGGGCAAGGTATTGTCACTGTACATGTTGCAGGTACGGCTTGTATCAGCTTAGTCAGGGTGATATTTTTCCACAAAAGTTTGCACCTCATTCCACTTTGCACAAATGTCCCTAATCACTGAAGAAGGTACCTTCTTGCCTCTCTCTTCTTCCTCCTCCTCTGAAGCAATTTCCTCAGCTGTGGTCTGTTGCTGTTCCAGTTGAGGGCCTTGTAGTTCTTCAGTGGTTAGCTCTTCTCTGTGGTCCTCCACCAACTCTTGCACATCCTGGCCACTCACATCCAACCCCATGGATTTCCCCAAAGACAGTAGATTCCACAATAAGCGTAGAGTCGACAGGGTCAGCCTCAAACCCTTCAAAATCTTTGTCGAGGACACATTCTGGCCACAATTTTCTCCAAGCAGAGTTCAAAGTCCTGGAAGTCACTCCCTGTCAAGCCTTACCTATAAGGCTTGTGCAGTGGAGGATCTTGAAGTGATTCCTCCGGACCGCTCTTAGGGTCAGTTCAGTGTCCGAGGTTACTTCAAAGCACTTTTGAAACATTGCTTTCATGTAGAGTTTTTGAAGTTAGAAATGACCTGCTGGTCCATGGGCCGGATGAGAGGAGTGGTGTTAGCAGGCAAGAACTTCACTGTTATAAAACTGAAGTCCCTAAACAATTGGTCTTCCAAGTCTGGAGGATATGCAGGAGCATTGTCCAGTACCAGGAGGTATTTGAATGGCAATTTATTTTCCAGGAGGTATTTTTTGAACAATTGTTGAGGTTTGAATTGTTTAGCTTCTATGTATCCCTTGAATTCTTGAACGTATTTTTCAGCCGCATATTTGTCAGAACTTGCCTTACCATAAATAACAAAAAAGGCACAATACCGTGACTGGAACGATACACAAATAACCCGCACATAAAAGAGAGAAGCTTACGACAACGTTTCGGTCCGACTTGGACCATTGACTTTGTCTATGGTCCAAGTCGGATCGAAACGTCGTCGTAAGCTTCTCTCTTTTATGTGCGGGTTATTTGTGTATTGCCTTACCATGCCTGACCACACTGTGTATGCCACTACACTTCTTGAATCTGTCAAACCAGCCTCTACTGGCCTTAAATTCACTAACAGCAGCACTCATTCCAGGCATTTTCTTTACGAGATTCGCATGCCTTGCCTGTACGCAAATGATCGACTCCACAACACTATCTTCCACTGTTTTTCGTTGATCCAGACCAACAACAATGTCTCCACATCTTCGATTGTTTGTGATCTCTGTTTTGTTAGCATATTTACCCATTTCACAACATCAGCTTCCTTGATTTCTACTTTCTTTGCCAGGATGGAACTGATTGTTGATTTGGACTTGCCATACATCCTAACCAGCTTGACTACACGTACGCCACTTTTGTATTTTTCTTCAATCTCTTGAATTCTATCATGTTTCTCATCTTCTTTACCATAGGGCTGGCACTAGGAACTTTCTTTGGGCCCATGGTGGCTTATTTCGCAGTTGCAGTCAATAAACAAGCACAACAAACAATGGATTGTTACGAATTGTTTCAGATGAATGCTCACTCAACCAGTGACAGAGCCAGACTGAGACATGTACGCATGAGTGGCAGCATCCCGGGACGGGTCTGATATGGATGATTTCCCAGACGAGGTACGAAATGGAACAAAATTTTGCTGAAAAAAGTGGTTGAAATCCGAATTGTACAATATCCAGTGTGGACAAATTCCGGGATTCCACTGTATAGTGTTTGGAAATAAAGCTAAAAGTCTTTAATTAAACAAAGAAAAGATAATACACAGCCGGGCTGTGGCTCGTACATTGGATTGCGTGTAGCCAGCAGTAACAGCCTGGTTGATCAGGCTCTGATCCACCATGAGGCCTGGTCACAGACTGGGCCGGGGGGGGTTGACCCCCGGAACTCTCTCCAGGTAAACTCCAGGTATTTATTCTGGCAACAAACTTCAAATTTAACAAGCAAATTCAGCACATATCTAAGAAAATTTTCAAAAAAGTAAGCATTCTTCTTAGAATATACTATTACCTCACATATGGCATATGTGCATGGGATTTACAAGAGCAAATCTAAAATCAACCATAACCTAACAAGTCTGCTATCAAAACAATTAGCAGTCAGATTCCAGACAATGCCCTCCTCTGCTATTCAGAGATTTGATCTTAATCTACTAAGTACACACCATGCACATGTACATATATAAAGTTGTTGAGAAGATTATCAAGAGTGGTGGAGCACCTAGAAAGAAGTGGGTTCGTACATGGAAACTACTGGAGTTCTACGACAATGTAACAAAGGTATGACAGAAGAAAAAGTGATGGATAGATTGCATTTTCTTTGACTGTAAGAAAGCTTTGGACACAGTACCACACAAGAGACTGGAATAAAAGCTAGAGGATCAGGCAGGGATAACAGATAAAGCACTAAATGGATCAGGAAATATCTGACAGGAAGGAAACAGTGAGTGATTGTACGTGACAAGGTCTCGAAGTGGGTGCATATGATGAATAAGGTTCCACAAAGATCAGTTCCAGGGCTAGTGCTGTTTCTTGTATACATGAATGACATGACAGAAGAGATAGAGTCAGATGTATCCCTGTTCACAGACTATGTGAAACTAATGAGAATACAAATGGACGAGGACCTAGAAAGGCTACAAAAAGATCTGGATATATGGATCTGACAAATGGCTCTTAGAGTTTAATCCCACCATGTACAAATTTATGAAGCTTGGGGAAGAACAAAGAAGACTGCAGACAGAGTACATGCTTGGGGAGCAAAGGCTGCATACCTCACTCGATAAGGACCGTGGGGTGAATATTATAACAAGCATATCCTCTGAGGCTCACATCAACCAAATAACTGTTGCAGCACATGTGTATCTGGAAAATATATGAATAACATTTCGACATCTAAGTAAAGAGCCATTCATGACTCTGTACATCATGTACATCAGGCCCATATTGGAGTATGCAGCACCGGTATGGAGCCCATACCTGGCCAAGCACATCAAGAAATTAGAGAAAATGCAGAGGTTTGCAACAAGACTAATCCTGGAGCTAATGGGGAGTTCCTATGAGGAGAAGATAAGGGAACTCAATCTGATGATGCTGGAGGACAGGACGACTAAGGGGAACATGATAATGGCATGCAAAATACTGAGAAGAATTGACAACGTGAACAGGGATAGAATGTTTCAGAAATGGGAAATAGGAACAAGAAGGCACAACTGGAAGTTGAAAACTCAGATGAGTCATAGGAATGTATGGAAATATTTCGTCAGCCTTAGAGTTGCCAGGAAGTGGGAAAATCTATACATAACTTTAGGAAGAGATATGAAAGTCTCTTAAAGCTGGAAGTACGTGGACCAAGTAGCGTCCAGGAAAGAGGCGGAGCCAGATGTGTCTTGACCCCTGCAGCCCACCACCACCGAACTCCCACACCCAATACCTAACCCCCAGACCCACCACCACCCAACCCCTAAACCAACAACCACCAAACTGCCACACCCACCACAACCCAAACCCACCACCACTCAACCCCCACACCCAAAACCAACCAATCTCGACACCCACCACCACCACCACCCAACCATCACACCAACCACCACCCAACCCCAACACCCACCACCAACCAACCCCCACACCTACCACCAGCTAACCTCTACCACACCCACCACCACCCAACACCCCCACAACCCCACCACCACCACGCAGCCCCCACACCTAGCACCATCCAACCCCTAAACCCACACCACCCAACACACTCACCACCACGCAGCCCCACACCCACCACACCCAACACCTCCACCCAACACCTCCACCATCACCACCCAACCCCCGACACCCACCACCACCCAACCCCTAACCCACCAC